AGAGAGAGAGAGAGAGAGAGAGAGAGAGAGAGAGAGAGAGGGGTAAGAAGAAGCTCTAACGCATTAAAGAAGAGTGGAGAAGAAGCGGTTTGCAGAATGGGCGGCATTCTCCACAGTATCTTAGAAACATTTGATTTCTGTTTAAGAACTCAGATTCTTGAACTTGGCAAATCAAAAATGAATACCCAGATTCCACATTATGAAAAAGAAATAACAACTCCTCAGATCCCTTTTATTTCTTCCTTCTCACTTGATTCATTTTTTAAAAATTTTTGTGTGCTTCTTATGCCATGGGTGTGGAGTACCTGAGAAGGCCAGAAGAGGGCATCAGATCCTGGAGATGTTTGTCAGGAGTGCTGGATGGAGGTGGAAGGAGTGGATGACAGAAGGATCCTCCTGAAGAGCAGCTGTGCTCTTGACTATTGCGGCTCTAGTCCCCCACCATCCCTTTTCTTTGTTAGGACTAAACCTAGATCCTCGCTCATGTCAAGCAGGGTGTTGTTGTTGTTCTTTCTTTTGAGAAAAGGATCTTATGTTACCCAGCCTGGTCTTAAACATTCGTGTGTGGCTATAGATAACCTCAAACTCACTGATTCGTCTCCCTTTCCTACAGAATGCAAGGATTATAGGCATGGGCCACTAGGCCAAGCAAGCTAATTGTCCCTAAAAAGCCCCAGACTTGTTAAAAGGCCTTGAAGGAGCTGAGACCTGCTCCACCTCTTTTGTGAGGCTGTGAGTGCCAACATATTCACAATCTGCATCTTGCAGTTAAGTGCTTAGAGGATGAGCACCTTCAGAATTATTACATACTATATGGGCATAAGAGGGAACCTTGGGGGCCCATCTCAGCATTTTACTTTCCTCTTTAAAGCAAAGACAGCAGCCCACAGTAAGGCAACAGTTGCCACAGTTACGGTGCCGCAGGGATGCAGAGTCGTCTGTGGGCTGGGAAATGCTTTTCTCCAGATCCTCCTCCTCAGTTAATGAAGAGTTGGCTGGATCGCTGCTCTCCGCCACTGGAACACGGTGCTTTTTTCTTGGAACAATTTTAAAGGCAAATACCAGCTCAGTAGAAAAGACATCTTTATTTAGTAGGCCCCTTAACTTGTGAGTAAGCTGTTTACGAGAAAGAAGAAATGGGAAAGCTTGTAATTATCAAGCTTCTCCAGAATACATGCTTTTCCTTATGGAGAACTAAGCTATCATTTTCCTGTAGAGTTCAATGGTAACAGTTTAAATGCAGAGGGAGACTGGAAGTGGTGGTTAGGTTAATAACCAGGGCTCCAGAATGGAAATCAATAGATGGACATTTGCAAATCTTTTGACCTTGCTTGCTTTATCTTAATGCCAGATGGCCTCTAGAAGAAATTAACACATCAACTGATAGTGTGCCATATCCACAAACTTTTTTTATACTCAACCAAGTGTTACAATGTTCCATATGCTAATTACAGCAGGAATTGAGAAGAACAATCCAGATTGGTTTGGCCAGATTGGTTGGGAGAAAGCTTTGAAGGGGAGGGAGAGAGGGCACACTTGAGAGGGGGACAGTAGTAGTGGGGCAGGGAGAACACTGTCATTAAAAATGCCAATTCACAGATTTGATTTTCTCAAGAGAAACCTGATAAATTCTGTCCAGCAAGTGCCTCTGGCATTTCTTCGGGGGTTGGGAATATTCTATAAGCTTGAGCCTGCTTTTCCAAAGGTGTCCCCCCTTTTTAAACCCTTAATTTTATGTTTATGAGTATTTTGCTTCCATATATGTCTGTCCATCCTGTGCATACCTAGTACCTGAAGAGGTCAGAAGAAAGTAGTAGATTCCCTGGAACGAGTCACTGGGTGGATGTAAGCCCTGGGGAAGAGTAGCGAGTACTCTTAACTGCTGAGCCAGCTGCTGCT